AAACAAAGCCTATGCTAGATAGCTCTACTTCTCACTCCACAAATTTAAGATTCAGCTAGTACTAAAACTAGTGGCAGCTAGGTGGCACAGTGGATAGAGTGCTCAGTCTGGAATCAGGAAGTCTCATCTTCCTGAGTTCAAATCTGGCCTGAGACATTTACTACCTGTGTGACCCTGGGCAAGTCACTTAATCCTGTTTACCTCAGTTTGCTCATCTGTAAAATGAGTTGGAAAAAGAAATGGCAAACCACTCCAGTATCTTTTCCAAGAAAACCCCAAGTGAGGTCATAAAGAGTCAGACGTTGACTGAACAATACTAAAACTATTCTCTCAAAAATAATCAGTAACCTTCTATCCCTTCACTTTTCTATTGCATTGGACAACATCATCTACCAACACCCATTTCTTAATAATAGTTTCCCCTCTAACTTCTGTGACACTATATTCATATTTTTATTTCTACCATATATTATTTCTTCTAATGACCATTATCTCTCCACTGCCAAAACATTCTACTTCCTTTATCAAGAGTTCAGGACTTGGCTCACACCAGTGGCTCTTTCCATCCCAGATCCTGCCTTCATAATATGGCGTTTTAATGTTAACACTTGGGGGCAGCTAGGTGGCGCAATGGATAGAGCACCGGCCCTGAAGTCAGGAGGAACGAGTTCAAATCCAGCCTCAGGCCAACATTTGACACTTACTAGCTGTGTGACCCTGGGCAAGTCACTTAACCCCAATTGCCTAGGGAAAAAAAATGTTAACACTCTGGTTTCTCCTTCCCTGAAGGAGACATAACAGTATGACATAACAGCTAAAAAAAAATCTAATACAATCTTGAGCTGTATCACCATCATTATCACTATTATGATTATAGAATGTAGCATTAACAGAAGCATGCAGAGCAAGAGTCAGCAAACACTTGCACTATCTGCCAAGCAAAGAGATATGTCAGTGGTAGTCAAGTGTATCACCAATTTAGAATATAAACTCATTTATAAAATTTTATTTTAAAAGATGGCAAGAAAGAGCAGATGCAGAGAAATCTGGGAAGACTTTGTATGATATGATACAATGAAATTAGCAGAACCAGTAGAAAAATTTATACAATGACTACAATACTGTAAAGAAACATCTGTAAAAGAAAACGACTCTGATCAATGCAATGATCAACTATGCCTCCTGAAGACTGATGATGACTATTGCTTTACTCCTCTTGAAAGATATTAGTCCACAGGCACAGAATGAGACATTTTCAGAAATGAAAAAAAAAAATCAACAAGAATCAGCGGATGCCTTCTTTTTATATACCATCCAAAACAAAAACAAAATAAATCAGCCCTCTCAAGGTCTTCTCCCATTTCAGGTCTACCTTGGACCTCTATCTCCTGCTTCCTGCCACGGTCCCCAGATTCCTAGTATAATCTCCTCTTGCTCCTGCTATTCTAAGGTGGGACTCACAGAGTACATCACTACCTGCCTGAAGGAGTCTTGAACAATAACCATCTGCCCGCCTCTCTAAAGGAATCTTTCTCCAACCAGTGATACTGTTCTGCCTGGACTAATCTTTCCTCAACGGTTAGCATACTGTCTCATCTTCTTATACTGTCACTATCCCAGTGATTCTGACACACACCCCTCCCAGCTAAATACTGCACAAACTCTTTTCCTCATCCTCCATTTTTCAGCCCTCATTGCCCACTCACTTATTCCCATCCCCTTCAACCCCTCCCCCTCCTTCAAATGTCCCACTCCACATTTACTATTCCTTCCACTGTGGCATTTAGAATTTTGGAATACCTGATCCATAATTAACAAACTCCCTTCATCTTAAAATTCATTCTTTCTCACTCCTTCCATTTTTGGCGCTCACTCAGACCTGGCTCCCTCTCAATGAGGGACTCGATGAGACACTAACTGTCTCACTACTTTTTCAGTGCTGTCTACACTTTGCCCCATTCCCTACCCCCATACCTCAATCCACTGGTCACAAGCAGGAGGGTCAGAAAACTCCTTGTTTCCCATGAACACTTCTAGACCCTCTCCCTCTTTACTACCACCACTCAGAAATCTCTCCTCTTTGGGGTTCAATATCCAAATTTATCACCTTATCCAGATTCTAGTGATGATTATCTCTCTACTACTAGCATATTGTACTTCCTTCATTCAGAGTTCAGTGCCTGACTCACACCAGTGGCTTGCTCCATCCCAACTTCTGCCTTCATAATACGGAGCTTTAATGTTGATATTCCCTCAAATACCCTAACTTCCCAGTTCACATGACCTACTCCTCCATTCTACCTCAAAAATATATGCTTTTGTCATCCAGAAGTTCTCTACTTCTAGATTCATGATCTCTAAAATTACATTATCTGATATTCATAATCTTATTATCACTCCATCTTTCTATATGCCTTACTATCACTCTAAAATTTCTTTATCTGATCATATTTTATCATTTCCATCTTTCCATATGCCTTACTAACTATACCTAAGTCTGTTCTTTCTCCTTACCAAGACCTCCATTCCCAATACCCCTCTGTTGTTTCCAGAGCCACAACTCCTGCAATAACACACTCTCTCCTTTTCCCCATATTGACCCCTTAATAAACCAGGTCCACTCTACACTAATCCCTACTCTTGAATCTTCTGCCCCATTTGTCCTATCACAAACTATTCTTGGATTACTCCTACCAATAACCTCTTTTGCTCCTACTCACAAGCTGCTGAACCAAACTAGAAAAAATCAGAAAACCATGCTGACTGAATCCAATATAAATATGGCCCCTCAACTGGTCCCTCAAAGGATCAAGGCAATCCTCTTACTCCCGCCAAATAGACTCTCTCTCTTACTCTACACAATGGCTACTCCAAATCTTTTATTCTATCTTCAGAGTCTCCCACTTCACCTCCTCCTCCCTCCACCCTCTCAGAAGAAGACAAGCTCATATTTCATGGGAAAAAAATTGAGGTCATTCACAAAAAGCTCACTCTTTTCTCCCTCACATGACTAGGACATCTTAGCCCATTATTTTCTCCTCGACTTCAGTGTCTGATGATGAGGTGGACCTTTTCCTTTGTGAATGCCAACACTTCTACCTGTACCCTTAGTCCCATGTCCCATCTCTGCCTATTTTCTCCAGCAGCTTGCCATAATTATTGTACCAGCTCTTATCTACATGCTGATTCCTTTCCTACTTTCTATAACATTGTCCATGTCTCTCCCTCAACTTTAAAAACCCCTCACTTGACTCTACCATACCACCAACTATTGTCCTATATATCCTATCTCCCCTTCTCAGATAAACTCCTTCAGAAGACCACCCACACTAAATGATTGCCTGTCCTCTCCTCTCACTTTCTCCTGTTTTCCAACCTCTTCTTTCAACTGAAACTGCTCTCTCCAAAGATACCAGTGATTTCTTGCCCTTAGAAAGTGAGCTCTTTGAAGGCAGGGATTGTTTTTGCCTGTGTGACCTAGCAGAATGACAACTGCTGACTAAACTTCCCCAAAACCCTTGAAATGCAATAAGAAATTATTCAATGTGTGTGCAGTTGCATATCCATGTTTGAAAGTATAATTCCTACTGACCAAGGGATTGTGCATATTACCAAATTTTTACTGTATTATCATTTGTTGAATTAAATATTGTATTTTAAAAGATGGTGGTGGTGGTAAAATGGCTGCTGAAAATCGTGGTCATGGTTTTTGTAGTAGCTGTTCACTTCATCAAAATTTGTCCCATAAAGCTTGGTGTTCTAAATTTAAAATTCCAAAAGTCATAATCCTACCTTATCTTTCATAGAGCCCAATCAAGCAACTGGCATTAATTAACATCCAAAGGCCTTGTAAGCCTTTTTGATAATACAACATATCTGTTTTGAAAAAACAAATCTTACGCTATTGTCTACAAACCATGCAACATGAAAACTCCCTCTAAAGTCTAAAAACACAAGGTTTTTTTTTTAAGTAATGGAAATACAAGAAAGTTTTAAGCTTAAAATTATTCTTAAAGAAACCGAAACATACAAAAACACCTCAACACTTTGCCTACCAGCGAACTTGGTATTTCTATTAAACAACTCTTAACACAAAATAAATACCAGATCGTATGGGTATTCAATGTTTTGTTTTGGGTTTTAGGGGAGAGGGGTAGCTGCCTGTGGACACTTTTGGATTTAATTCTTTGTGAAGCAGCGTCCAGTTTCAGAAAACCTTAGCATCAGGCTGCAGATTCTAAAAAGGTCCCAAGTATGGTGCTAGGTTTCACAAAGTTTTTCCTCTATCCTTCATAAGACATCTCTGCAAGGTGATGATGGCCCAAGAGCCTGATGGGCCCAGCAAAGTGGAGAAATTACAGCATCATTCAGTAACCCTGTGGCAAACATGCCTCACAGGGATTTTGCAACTTCCAAACTGTAATGGGGGGGGGGGAAACAAAAAACAAAAACAAAAAAACCACCACTGTTGAGAACCCACGGGATACTTTCAATCTCCAAACACACCACCTCCCTTCTTTTTTTAAGGCAACATCACACTTATTTCTCAGTCAGACTAAATCAACTTCCTCTTTACTCGATGAAAAAGTTGCTCGCTAAATCGAGAAAAGCCAACTTGCTGAAGTCGGGACACCTCCAAGAAACAACTTTCGCTGGCACGCGGGATGAAGAGGTAAGCCACCCTTCATCTGGCACACTTCTTCTCCTCCCCCAAGGTCTCCAAGGGTCGCAATACACCACAGAAAGGTGCAAAGCGTGCCCGCCACCTCCAAGCCGGGAGACCCGTGTGCTCGGCGCGCTGGGGCCGCGGGGCGCGCAGGACGTAGACAGGTTCCCTCTCCCCGCCGCGCATTCCGCAGCTCAGGCCCGGGGGCGTGCGGCGGGATGCCACGGGTGACAGGTTTATGGCCCGGGCCCGGCTAGGCTGCTCCGCGGGCCGCAGCCTGGCTCCGCACCTCATTCGCCCGTCCGCCCCGTCCCCTCCTGCGCTGCCTCCTCACCTGACAGACGGCGCCGCGGAAGCTCGAGAAGACGGCGCCCTCGTCCAAGTGCAGCGCGCGCTCCCCGACCTCCGACTTCTCCTCGCGCCGGTCGAACAGGAACACGGTGCGGCGGCCGCTCCCGCCGCCTCCAGCCGGCCCGCCGCTGCTGCTGCTACTGCCGCCGCTGCCGCCGCCGCCGCCGCCTCCGCCGCCGCCGCCGCCTGCCGCTGCCATATTTGGGGGGAGGAGACAAGACGGGAGCGCTGGCGGCGGCGGAGGCCGCCCCTCTCAGTGGCGCCGCAGCTCGAGCTCCCCTCGCGGCGTCGCCTGTTACAGCTCCAGCCGCCCGCCGGTGGCAGGGGCGGGGGGGGGGGGGGGGGAGAAGCGGCGGTCCAGCCACCGAGGACCCGCGGCCTTGGCGGCGGAGGCGACGCGACGGCTGCCGACCTTCCGGAGGGAAACGAAGAGGCAGCGGCGGCGAAGGGGCGGGCGAGGATCACCCGGGAACGGATTCAAACGAGTCTCTCCCCCATCTCTTCACGTCACTTCCGCGCCCTCGGCGCTCCTTCGCGGGGAGGAAACGCAGTTATCCGAAGAGACGACGGGCTCCCAAGCCTCCACGCGCACGCGGCCGAACCTCACTGCGCACCGGGACGCGCGTCAGCTTCAGGTTCCTAGCGGAGGCGGCGGGGGGCGCGGCCGCTACCGATTGTGGCGCAGGAGGACACGGCGGCGGCGATGGCTGAAGGGGCGGAGCTAGTCCCGCAGGCCCCGCAGGGGCGGTGGAGGCCCAGACTAGGCCTCCTCCGTGAGGAGGAGGAGCTTTGGCGGGCCCCGCCCCTTTTACCCTAGCGGAGCAAGAGGGGAATGACAGGTTGTTGTTAGACGGCAGCAGCGCGGCCCCACGAGGCTGGGAGGGCAAAGCCAGTCTAGCGCGTAGGATCCTGCGATGCGGAGGGCCAGGGCCGAAAAGGGGAGGCCAGCCGCCTTGAGCCCGACATTTCCGAGCCACCGGAGGCCCCGGCGCCCGTAGCTTCCAGCCCGGCTCTTCGCTCGCCGCTCCCGGCCTCCTGATTTGGCTGGGGCAAGAGACGCCCGGACGGCCTCGAGCATTGCCACGCCACGTGGCCGGCGCTGACGTCTTGCGCCCAATGGCGGCTCTTTGATCGTTTTCTTGGAGCTGTGGGGGATGGGGGCGTGGCGCGATCCCGGCGGTGACCCCATCCCCACTCCTCCGCCACACCACTGCCCAGCTTCATTCCCGACTCTGGATCCAGGAGAAGACCCCGCCCCGCCTTGGGGAAGGGGGAGATGCTTAGACAACTCCATTATCCCCATTCACCTGCCCTTTCCCGAGAAACCCAGTGTTTCTGCATTCCTTTTAGGTGAACTCGCTTTCACGTGCTGGCTAATACCGGTGTGACCCCAGCCCCTCCAAACCAAGAGGATCTTAACGTATTTTTGTCTCGTGGACCCTTTTAGCAGTCTGGTGACGCTTATGGACGCCTCAATGTTTTTAAATGTATAAAATGCTCAGTATTACAGATGAAACCAGTTACTTTTATCATAAATTCACAGATCCTAGGTTAAAATCTCCTACTCTAAAGAGTAGCTCCTGCCTTATCCTCAGTCTCCTTAATGCAGAAACTGCCTGGTCATTCGTGGCCACATCGAATTGGCAAAACTGAGCGCATTATTGCATTTGGTTTTGGCCCCGAATAAATCGCCCTACTTGCATTCTGGCAAATCGTGGGAGAAGCACTTGAACTTGGCTTTTTAAAACGTTTACTACAACCTTCGCCCCTTTTCAATATTGCTGTGAAGCGCTTAGAAACAATAAGCCGTCTTTTCAACGAAAGCCCACTTGACAAAATAACGAAGTACAGAGGCGCCAGTTTTGTTTTTATTTTGTCGAATGAATGAGTTCAAATAGGTATATAAATACCCAAAGCACCAGTCCGAGATATGTCGGGGCTTGTAGAGGTCTGCTACATTTTAACAGATGCCGAACAAATTTCGATTTTCCTGATGTGCTAAGATTCTGAATTGTTTGGAAAACATCTTCCTATATAAATGTATGCAAGTTTGTACTGTTCGTTTTCAATCGTATTTTTAAATTTGCTTTTGGCAGTTACCATTTACCTGTATTTGCATTTACTCTATGAGAAGATAAATTCTCTGAGACAAAGCTCTGTGGTATTTATTTCCTATGTAACCTTCCTTGTTGCCTAGTACCGTACATATGCAAGCCATTCATATTAAAGTTGAATTTTCCACTATAAAATATAAGCTAGTCACAACTACAACTAGTAGTAATAATAACTAACATTTATACATGGCTTACTGTGTGGAAGGTGCCGTGCTAAGCATTTTACAATTACTATCTCATTTGATCTTCACGATCCCATTAAGTGGGTGTTATTATTATCCCTATTTTACAGATGAGGAAACTGGGGCAAAAAAAGGTAAAGTAACTTGGTTAGGGGCACACAGTTTTAGTTTAGTGAGAGTCTGAGGTTGGATTTGAATTCACCTAGCTGCAGACTTATACCTTTTTATGTTGTAAGGTTTGCAAACCAGCCTCAAAATAAAAGAAACTATCATATTTATTGAAAATACTGCTCTAGGGGCTAGGTGGAGCAGTGGATCAAAGCACTAGCAGTGGAGTCAGGAGGACCTGAGTTAAAATTGAACCTCAGACACTTAACACTTATTAGCTGTGTGACCCTAGGCAAGTCACTTAATCCCAGTTGTTTCGACAATAAATAAATACTGCATTATCAGCTTATTCTGGTCAGTGAAAACAAGAAGTTATGATTCTACCACATACCACTCAACTGCCAAAGTGATCTTTATAAAATGCAGGCCTTACCATGTCTCTTTCATGCACATATTATATTATGTTATGTTATGTTATATTATATTAATTATATATCCAGAGTAAGAGTAAACACCAGTGGATTAGATATAAAATCTTCTGTTTGGCGATCAAAGCCCTTCATAATCTACCCTGCCCCCCACCCAACTTTACAGTCTTCTTATACCTTATAATCCCCTTCCCCCAAACTCTATTTACTCTTCCATCCAGTGACCCTGGCCTCCTTGCTGTACCTCACACACTTCCCTCCCATCTCCCACCCCAGAGTATTTTCCCTGGATGTCTCTACCCTGCAACCCCCACCCTAAGCCTGGAATGCTTTCCTTCCTCTCCCTCCTGACTACTGTGGCTACTAGCTGGGTAATTTTAGTCCCCAGATGAAATCATGCCTTTCCTGATCTTTCTTAATTGTAGTGTCTGGCCTCTGTTCATTATTTCCTATTTATCCTATATATAGTCTGCTTGTATACAGTTGTTCACACATTGTTTCCACCATTAAGCTTGTGAGCTCCTTGAAAGCAGGGATCTCATCTTTATTTGTATCTCCAGCCCTTAGCCTAGTGTGTGGCATATAATAGGTATTCAATGTTTATTGACTATTAACAGGAGTAATGATGAAGTATGCTACCCACAACTTAACAGGAAATGTACTCAAAATACAGAACATTTTCAGACAGCCAATATGGAACTTTTTTTGGTTAACTGCGCCTATTTTTTCAAGGACTTTTTCCATCTTCATGGGAGATAAAAGGATGAGAAGGGATAGAGAGTAGCAAAGAAAAAAAGAAAAGACTGTCATTGAGACTTTTAATGCAGAGAACAAAAGGAAGATTAGAAAGAAGCACAGACAGGCAAGATAGCTTTGAAAGATATGATTTGAACTTATATACTTAGAAAAAAGTGATACATAATAGAGATCTGAAGGGTCATAAGCAATCCTTGTGTTAAGTTCAGAATTTTTTTTTTTAATTAGAGCTCAGTAGTACACAGGTTTCCCCCAAAATTTACAGCTTCTGCAATCTCTATCAACTACTCTGTAACATTATTTAGTATGATCACATAAAATGGCATGTGTTGCAAATTTTGTAAGTAAGGAAGATTTACTGTATGCTTGAGGACCTAGAGGGCCACATGTGGCCTGGAGAAGGAAGGTTCCCCACCCCTGGATAATATATATTATACATACAATAAGGGGGTTAGATTGGATGACTTCTAAGGCTCCTTCCAATCCTAAATTTGTGATCCTATAATCTATCACAATATTTAAAGGAATAGTTTTTACCTACTATGTATGTTGTCCTTTGTACTTATTTTCTCTTTTTTTTAAGATATCTCTTTAACTTGTGCACATGACAAATTTAATATAGATCTGCTAAAATTATAGGTGATATATGCACAATGAAAACTTTTATTAGTAAGTAAATACTCAAAACTCCAGCAGCTCCCTGTCATCTCCAAGATCAAATATAAAATCCTTTGGTATTCAAAGCCTTTCATAACTAGGTCTCCTCCAACCTTTCTAATCTTCTCATACTTTACTTAAAACCTTTGCAGTTCCACAAACTTTAATTATACTCCATCTCTCACCCCCAAGCATTTTCTTTGGCCTTCCCCTAAGCCTGGAATGCTCTCCCTCCTCATCTCTTTCTCCTGGCTTCCTTTAAGTCCCAACTAAAATCACATCTAATATAGGAAGCCTTTCCCCACCCTTCATAATTCTAGTGTGTACTTTCTGTTAATTATTTCCTATTTATTCTGTATGTAGTTTGTACATATTTGTTGTCTCCCTCATTACAATGTGACTTCATTGATGGCAGGAACTGCATGGGGTACATAATAGGTACTTAATAAATGTTTATTGGTTAACTATTTTGTTTCAAGGTAGTGAACTGAACCACACATCAAACCTAAGTTATCTTACCCTTAGTTATTACCCTAAGTGTACCAAATTTGATTAAAATCATTTGCTTTGGTTATTCCTGTCCTTAAACTATTGAGTAGTCCCTTAGAAAGAGACTCTAGGCAATTAGATAGAAAAGTACAGAGTGGTTTGCCAAAATGGTGGGAGCACAAAGAACTCTTCCCACATAAGGCAACAACTGACCTCAGAAGTTCACCCTTTGGAATCGTCTTTTTTTTTATTTTAGAAACACTTAGCACCTGTCCCCTTTTCTTCACTCATAGGGCCACCACCATGTTTAGGCTCTTATCAACTCAACTATTGAAAAAGACTTCTAACTCGTCTTCCTGCCTCAAATCTCTCTTCTGCTTCAAATAGCTACCATAATGATTTTTATTAGTAATTAATCTGTTAGTAACTCTTCTCATTAAACTGGAAAGCTTCAACCTAGAGAAG